CACGGGGCACCCACACGTTCACATTCAAGGCTCATAGTTTTCCCCATGCTGTGTGTTCAGAGACCTTCTTTCAAGACTGCCAAGAAAAAATTGTAAATAAGCAGAGCCAATTTAATTTAAGTTAAATTCATTTTGTTACAGAATAAGATTTTGATGCAAATTAAAAAAAAATAGAGAAGGATTATCTTCAGGCATAAATTTTAATTATTTGTTTGAAGAAGTTGACACTTGAGGAGATGATCAGATCAGCATGGAAATGAAGAAGTCGGGCTTGTCCTCGTTGTAAAAATTGTTTTTGTTCAAACACAAAACGGCTGCTTCTGTTTCTGTATAAAAACAATTTTTTAAAACGAGGACAAGCCCGAATTCTTCATTTCCTTAAATTTTAATTCTGGTTATTTGTTGATTTAAGTTATTTTCTTTCGAACATAAAAAAGTATAAATTGTAGTAATTTGTATGTCTCGTCAATTACTGACCAGTGCATTAAAAATTTGCAAATTAAAAGATCAAATTTAAATATTAATTCATTCAAGGAAAATCTGAGATATATATTTTATCTTAAAAAGCAAGAATGAGCACGAATAAAAATTTTGATACAAAAGTGAGCAAATTTTTATTTTGGTTTTTTAAAAGATAATATAAAATATCAAAAATATGTCTAGTTATTAACATAGTTAATTCGAATATAATATTTCTTGCACTTCTTTGGTGGCAGACGTAGTTCAATAAAATAAAACAATTCTTTTTGCTCCCTGCACATTCCCATGCAAATTAACTTCTAAAGAGAAATCTCGAACCATACAGAGAGAGCAATTCAATATAATAAGTTTACATAATACAAACGCTCATTTATCACTCGCCATATGTTAATGCGTCTCGCAAACTTTTCTGATAAAACTTTTATCATTTCGAGATGATCAGTGGCGTCTTAGGGTGCACATGCGTCTGCCTATACCCACCATCGCCCTATCTGGCTCTACCCGTTGGTGTTTTCGGCGGCGCGGGCAAATATTAAGCATTTGTTTGCTTTGCCGTATTGAAGCTCGCTCGTTTGTTATTTGCTCTCTCGCGCTACATTAGCCTTGTCATTTGGCGTTGCATAATTTATTTCGAGCGCTTGACGCTCGCTATCTGGCGAAAGTGGAAATGAAGAAAGCGTGTGTCGCATATAATAGGCAATAAATAAGCAGCAAAACCGCCCACCTGTTATTTATGGCGCATCAAATAATGAGAATGCATCGCTTCTCAAGGGAAACAAAGAATTCCTCCAAAGCAGCCCAATTTGAATGGGACGAAAAGTGCGCAGGTGGTGGAATTTTACGTGAAGAGTTTAGGAAGGAATTCGTTCCAGAGGTTGCGCTTCATGAATAGAAATTGCGCGAGAATGGCAGGGTGATTCAATTGCCCGCGAGGAAAACTTGGGAATTGTCAGGTTGAGTTCCGGAATTGGATTTCTTTCAGCAGGTAGTACACGCGTAACTCTTCAAAGAAGTTTTGCAACTTAATTTAAAAAAATGGCGTGTCAACCTTTCACAATTTAAACAATGCTAGGCAATCATTTTATGGTTTTTATGATGAAATATTTTAATTTTTATTATTAATTAATTTATAATAATGTTAAGCAACTAAACTATAAGCAAAGTAAATACATCTATGGAAGTTGAACAACCAATTAAAAATTGATAATTTATCAATCAAATATAAAACTTTTAATTTATTCATTTATTGTTATTAATAAAAGAAAAATACTAGAAATTTTTTTTATTGTAATTAATAATAAATTTTTCTATTTTACTTAATAATAAATATTTTTTTAAATAAATAAATTTATTTAAATTTATTAACTTATCAATTTTTTATTAAAATATTGTTTCTTTAATCATAAAAAAATTAATTTAAATATTTATTAACAAACAAATAAATCATGCAATGCAATTAATAGACTTAATAATTAAGAAATTCAAATTTGAAAGACCATATCTCCATAATTTTACTATATATTATATTTAATATCTTAATGCGGTATATACACACAAAAACATCTATTAAATAAGGGTTTTCATTATCATAAAAAGTCGGAATCTAATGCCATCAATTATTAAGTCATGCACGGTTCAGCGTTTGCCGTTCTGAGGCAAATCTAATTGTAAAGCCGATTAAAGCGGCAGAAATAAAAATTGAATACGAAATTATGCAACTCCCAGGCATTTTGGTTGCGAGCTGATAAATTTCATACATAATTCAAACCGTAAATGTGAACCGTATCTGCGGCGGCTGACTTCTCTTTGCTCCCTACAAACATGCAAAATCACCAAATGGCCGCAGTGGCTCACGCGCTATACAGTTTTCGTTTCAGTCCACACGATTTGCTTTCGTTTGATTGCCACCGCTGCGAGTACGCAAGTGTGTGTGACCAAGCGGATTTTTATTTTTATTTCCCTCGTGCGATCGACTGCCAACGATAAAGTCGCGCGCAAATTAATAAATTGCTGCTGTGATGGCGCCAAAACATGCACTCGCACTGATTTTAGCTGGCAAATTTTTTATTTCAAGAGAAAGCGGCATATTTCAACTCGGCACCTTTAGAAATTATTTAAAGTGGAATTTAAATACTGTACTTAAAAAAAATAATTCCCGAAATTTCCTACAATAAATTGAGCAGGTTATGGTCGTAGCAAACACCTACAAATTTCAGATAAATCTAAGATAATTATTGTGTGCATAGCAACACCAGCCTCAAAGCAATTAGTCGTGTTGACTGAAAGTAATGCGTGCAACCAGTTGGGAATAAATTGTTTCCTCGCATGAAATTACGGCTAAAATAATGCTCCGGTAGCGCGGCCAGCCTTAAAATAATAATTCGCTGGCATGAAACCCTTTTTTGAATATGTGCTTAGAAAATTGTTTTATGCATTAAACAATACCTGTTATATGTACTTTCGCACCCATATTTTTTGCTATAAAAATCGATTGAAAAAACTATTAAACTTAAAATAAAAGCGCTAATAAGTTGCAGTTGAAACTCTAAACATTTGGATTTATGTTTTAGGTCAGGCCAAGACAATGTTTCTTATCGGCCTGTATACCATTATTGAGCTCACTTATTTTTTTACTGGGTAATTTTTATTTTTATGATGAGAATTGTTTAAATTTACAAATAGCTAGTTCGGTGTGCATTTGTTAGCAAAATTCTGTGTCCCGGTGGCAAGTCCCATAATTGGCCGCCGCAAGAGAGAGACGCGAAACTGGGTAGGACAGCTGTGGAAACAAAGCATGCCCGTTTTGTTTCCTAAAGGCAGCCTTGGGAATGAGAAAACCAAAAAGTCTCCTCAGCATATTTACAAAGTTTCTTCTCCAGGGCATCGCCAGTCTTCATTTAAGAGTACAAATATTCAGGCAGCACCGCACTAGAGAGACGAGCAGAAAAAAATGAAAACGCGCTGCGGAGGAAAAAAATGAAACAATTAGGCTTGTTGCACACATGTATGAAATAAATGCACGACTTTTTAAATTTATGTCTCCCGCTTAGTCACTCGTGTTGAGCATTTAGCAGACAACGAGCACATATGAGTAAAAATGCTTTTAAACGATCTAGATTAAAATTTACTAAAGTGCGACGCGTGCAAATAGCGAAGATTTATTATCACACGCAGCGAAAGATAATAAAAATGATTTCCACAGGACTTTGGTGCAGGTCGATACTAAGTTTGATTGCGAAACCAATTTATATGCGTTTCATTTCCACCTCATTAATTTCACACCAAAACCGACTAGAAATGGCGAATAATAATTAAGAAAATACGCGAGTCGGTCTAATCCGGGCAAAACACGTCGCTCCTAATCTCAACTTTGCTCGCTCACGGCAGACTTGAATGAAACGCGTTTCAGCTACAGGATTTGAAGGACTTTGCCAAGTTTGCTCTCAGCACCATCGTTGCGGCCAGCGAGATTGCGGCCGCTTCATTTGAATTTAATCTGCTGCGTTTCCTGCAGAGCCTCGGAAAAACCGCTGTCCTTTTCCGCCTCAATGCACCCCTTACATCCGAGCTAGGCATGTAATTTCGCTTTATTCAGTGCGTACGTGTTTCCGGGAAAGGTGTCAGTGTGGTGCGGACGCAGCATTTGGCAAGTTTGATGGATGTGCGCGCGGGGAGGATTAGTGATTGTTTTCAGCATGGATTATGTATGCTGGCGTATTGTGTGTTCGCAGGTGGTGTACTTATTTTTTATTTAAATGTTATAAACAATTGAATGAAATTGTTAATTTTTTTAAATCGGTACTGAAAAAAGCAATATTTTGAGCAATACTAATGTTTTCTCTCTCTCTCTCGTGTTTTAAAATTTTCGTTTTTGTCATTTATTTGGATGAGTTCATGTATGGAGCATAGTTGCCCTAAATTCAAACCCAATAAACATTTCTTGAACCTAAACAATGTTATGTGCAAACATCAGTCTAAATAGTCCCGGATAACAAAACTTAAAATTAAATAAACTTTTTTCAGAGTCCTTAATCATTATTTTTTATTTTATGATGAAAAATTAAGCTGTGTAATTCAATCAATGTTTGGTAGTTGGAAAAATTTCTTTGGAAATAATGGGATTTTTTGCACATTAAATAACAAATTATAAAAAAATAAGTTTTTACAACAAACCAATAAAATTCACTCAATTTTAATAGAATTTTGTTACATCCGATGTTTTCGTGCCTGATCAAAATAAAATTATAGTTTCAGTTAATTAGGAAGAAAGACTTTCGGTAGAAATTTATGACAGTTTGAATTGTAAAGAATGTTTCACATGAGTCCAAGTCTGTGTGCTTAGCTCTCAAAATTTAATGATAAAACGAATCTCGTCGCTTCGCAAGTCCGCATCTCGGTGATGAGTGTCTCTAAACAAGGCAAGACAACAAGCACTAGAGAAAACCTGCTCGTTCATCTCCCCGAATCCAAAATAGGGAAATTGTAGTGCTAAGTAAGACATAACGAGAGCGCTTACTCACCTTGCTAGGTCGTGGTGCGGCCCGTAATGAGACCTCTCAGCCCGCACGCCGTGCTTTAAGTGCGCCCCGAGTGACGTCACGACCCTTCTACCTACCCCATTTCATTCACCAGGCCCGCGCGCGCCTCTGCAGACACACGCCGCCGCCGCACGGCCTCCTCCGCCCCCGGTCTTCCTCCCCACATATGGGCTATTGAGGATGAACTGATTGAGATTATCGCACTCACAATCATAGGGGAAGTTGGGAAAAGAAGGGATAAAGTCACGCCGCTTGAAGTACGTCGCTAAAATTTTCCGGAAAGGAAATAGTTTAAATTTTAGCAATTCAAGTTTCTCAAGGATCTTTTGAGATTTTGAAATAAAAATTTGATACAGAAATAGATTTAAAATAATAATAATAATAATAAACATTAAAAATAGAGCTAATTTTATTATTTAAAAAAAAGTCGTGTATTTTTAGAATTGAACTAATTTAGCAGGAATTTATTTAGATTTATTGTTTAATTTTATAATTTGTTTTAAATATTTTGAATTTGGCGTTTACCGATACTTTCGTTTTTTAAATTAAATGATTTAAACAATTTCAATTTTTAAATTGAATATAAAATTACTTTTATTTAATATAAATTAAAAGAAATTATAGTTTCACAAAGAGTTATTACGACTATTTACGATTTTCTTATTTTTAGTACTCTGTTGACATTATTGTAATTTATTCGAAAACAGGACATTTTAAGGGTCAAATTTGAACTTAAATTGCCTTAAACCCTCGGTGCGGAAAAGCAGCCGACCCCCCTGCGGACGAAAGCACTCAATATTAGTGTTCCCACCGCGCGTTCGTCTCCTCTTTTCCTGAAGCGTGTTCACTAAATTATTCATCTCGTGCAGCAAGATTTCAGCTGCACACTTGCGCCAACAACGCATGAGCTGCTTATCCCAGGCCGCCTTTAATTATCCTTCTCCGGAACACAAACTTTTAATGCAGACTCGTGCGCGCGGCATGGATCGTGAAAGGGAGGAATTATAATTTTTATCGGCACAAGCCTTTTACGATTTTGCGTGCGACTTTTTACAGTCGGCAATGGCGTGTGTGTCTTGATGAATTTTTTTTTACTGCCCGCGCATTTGAAACGTTTTTGTAGTGCTGACACTGACATTTGGTTCGTCCAAACAATTTTCAATAAAAAACCCTTTGATTTTGTTATTTCAACAGCGGTTGTAATCAAGTTAATGTTGACTGTTAATTAGCAGAACATCAAATATCCTTGTAACATTCAAATACGAAGTAATAAAGCATTTGAGTGGTTTCATTTCAATTCAGAAGGGTCGTGAGTTGGTATAGTGGGTGGTCGTCAGTAACGGTCAGTGCCGGCTTGAAATTTCTATTTGATCGGCAACCATGAAAAAAGCAAAGAGGGCCATGGATAAGAACACACTTATTAAAAGAAATATTAAATTTTGTCAAAATTTTAAATTCCAATATGGTTAAAAACCAACTTGGATTTAAAATTTGCATTAAAAAGCGTGTTTCAGTAAATAATACGTATATATTAAACTACTAAATTTGTTTCTCAGTTATGTTGCTCTGTTAACCCTAATTTTCCGAGTTTTAATTGAAATTTTGATTTTTTGTGACTCAAAAATATTAATTTTTGAGGCATTTTTAAAAATTAATTTCTCAATTAAAAGTCAAAATTTTGGTTTGTATATTCCATTCTTTAAAACCAAGTGTTTCTCGCACAGTTTCAGTAAATCCACGTAAAAACCTCTTAAAAAATACTAAATTTGTGTTTCCTATATGATTTTTTTTTGCAATGCCATCAAATTTACAAAATACCACAGTACAATACAATTTTCATGAATATGGCAATGAAATTCAAGAGGAAATTTCTTTCCAAAGCAAACAATACAGTTGAACAGAAAATTTATGCACAAACAAAGTTAGCCGCAACAGAAGTGCTCTTTATAGCAAATAAGGCGAGAGAGCAAACGGTTCATAAATGTCGGCAAAGTTTCGGAATAAGTTTGAAAATTAGCATTTTATCCAACAGCACGCGGCCAGAATAACAAAAACCGATTCTCATTTCTCCGCCCTGCTTAATTAGCTATCGATCTGCATCAGATATTGGTGTTTGGTATTAAAATTGTAAACGAAACGCAACAAGCAATTAAAGCACGAAAAACAGTTTATTGCTTCGGGGGATTTTCCGTTGGATAAAAAAGAAACACAGATTGGAATTTCCATTAGCACAGTAAATTGCAATAAACAAATACTTTTTTCACAATTTTATTTATATTTTATATTGTGTTATTCTTGAAAAGGCCGAAAACAAGGTCAAAAGGAGCGATCAAAGGGCACAGGTTGTTTTTATTTTCGTGTTGTGTTATGCGGGCGCTTGGGGAAAACAATGAGAGTGCTTTTGGCCGAGGAGGACAAAGTGTAGCGTGGTCAAGTGTTGCTCAAAGTGGCCAATTTGCCGCGCAGAAACTCAATATTGCCGATTGGTCGATCCGAAGAAGCTTGTTGATACAAATGGGACCCCCACTCTTGATCATTCTTCGGATGTAGCAATGATAATTGTCGATCAATAATAACCCCTTTTCCCTTTGCGATCCTACCTGGAGAAAAAAAATCATATTACGAACGAGAAGGGATTCTGTGAAAACCTCTACATACAGTTTATTTAAGGTAAAGCAGAGGTAGAGCCTAAAATACGTTTTGTGAAAGGAACTGCTGCTCTTGTTTGTATTTCATCATTCAATATTATTGCAAACTTTCCAGGTGGAAAATTATTTTTAAAATTATTCATACAATGCCATTTGCCTGAGGGAGGAACACATTTAAATATATCGTTAAGGATGAATTTTTTTTTTAATTGAAAATTTATTCACTGAAAATCATTTAAAGCTGTATTTCGCAAAAGAAATCTCAAATTATTTGATTCTAGTAGCTATCGATTTTATGCCAGATTAGCTGAATGAATCAATCTCCATATATGAATGGGGAGAGATCACGGCTTTTACGTTAATTGTCTGATGGCCCTATATGTAAGAACAGAGGCGGGGTGCGAAGTTTCCCTGAGCCTTGTGCTTTGCCCATTCACTCTCTCACACACACACCTTGAGCTGAACGAATAATCTTTTTAAGTGGTGCTCGCAGAAGCATAAATTCGAATCCCCACACGCCCTTGCTGACGAAATCCGCGACGAAACTTCTATCGCTGTTGTTTTTCCCTCGCTTACTCACGTCACAAGACTGATTCATCCGTGTCTCATGCCTAGAAGTAGAAACCCCTTGATAAGAAGAAAACGTCAAGGAAAACTAATATTTTCAATGCGCAGTAAAGCACATGCGATTAAGTGATACGGATTTATTTAGCCTCCATTTTTATAAGATGAAAAATTCTTATTGCGTTTGAAGTGGTTTGCTCATGCCATTAAAATGTTTACGAACCAATTTTTTTTATTTAAATTGTGATAATTTGAGAAAACAAATATAAATTTTGGGAAATAAAAAGTTTAGAGAATAAGATGCTGAGATTAAAACACTCAATCAAAGCTTTTTTTGTACTTGTAAATGAGAGGAAACTTCGTCTTTGTTTTGCAAGAAACACACTACTTATAATATGCTTTGGTCTCTGCAATTCTGCCTTCTGCCTGCTCAATATCATAGAATTGCATATATAATAATTTTTATCTAATGCTATCAAGTTTGAATTGAAGAAAATCATAGATCATAAATATTGGTTTCATTAAATTTTGAAAGATAATAAAAGGTTCAAATTAATAAAAAAATAAAAATAAAATTTTTTATAATATAAAATATAACAAAAGTTAAATTCTGGGATAATTTAGTTCATTTTTTTTTTTATCAAAATAGTTAAATTGAATTTTCTCCTGTAGTGTACACCTATTAAGTTTTTTTTGGAATTATCTGTAAGTACCTAAAATTAATTGTATTTTGTACTCACAATTTAGATCCATTGACAGTATAAATGTGGAGTAAATTAAAGGTACATAATTCAAATTCGTTTAAAAATAATGTTGTTAATTATTTTTATATTAGAGAGAAAAACAAAACTGTTATTCAAGGATACTCATAAAATAACTGCTTAGCCTAGTATCATTGTAGCTCTTGGTAGCTACGATCAATTAGCTTAATGCAAATGGTGTTGTAACGCGTTAATGTGACTTTTGCAAAAAGGAGAAGTGGTCCAGCTCCCATCATAGGCGTTGGCTGACAGGACACCCGGCTAAAATTAGACAGGTCTCTTCTGCGAGCAACACACGAGAGGGATTATTAAATTATTCTAAACAACCCTTCGTGGATGGGCAGCGTAAATAATTCAAAAACCTGCTTTTGCCGACCCAGAGGTGTTTGTGTCCTCCGTGCATTTGAAAATCTTTTGCCCGTGAAGCCTAATGTGTAAAACGTGTCTTGGAATTTATTGAAGTCAAAATACGACAAGAAGTACATTCATGGTAACGCAACTCGCTTCAGTGTTGTTGCGACTTCAATTAAACAAGCATTTTTTTATGCAATCAGAGTCAAAATGGGAAGTGCGGAGGCCAACACAAGTATTGCAGATGTATATTTCAATGTAATTTTCCCCACGCAGTCTATCCTTGGTTAGATCAAAGAATGAAAAATCAATCAGCGCCAGAATCGGAAGTGCGGGGGCGACATAATTATATGCATGTAATGCCAAAGAGACATTGGCGTTGCCACTTTGATAGTGCGAAATATTTTGGAAATAATATTCAAAATGAATGTTCCTGAAATTAGCTATTAGATTTCCTCTTTCAAATTTGCTTTTGCTGCTTCCTCCACCTGATTGTTGATGTTGATTGGATTCATTTCGTTTTAGTTTATTATCTACTTCAATTCTGCACCATTCTACCATGTAAAAACGAGATTTTTTAATAATGACGCAATAACTTGCTTTAGATAAAATTTTGAGGTGAAGTTTTACCTTAATTTTTTTAGACTGTTCTCCGTGTTTCAAATATTTAGAGCAATAATGATAATAATAATACATAGTAAATAATTGAAAGGGAAACAAATAAAATTCAGTAGCTGTAAACAAATAATTTTCTTTCTCTTCTTTGTATTGTTATTTGGTGAAAATTT